GTAACGAGTGAATGATGCAATGGTTACCTTTGCTATTAATAGTAACGCGTGGGCCTACAGTGCAGTCTTTGAGTGTTGCCTTCTCCTCCAGTCGGACTTGATTGCATAAAATTGAGTTTTGAATTGTGCAACTGAGAGAGAGAGAGATTAAGATTTAAAATCATTTTCATGAATAATTATAGCAAGGTTTAAATTAAAGCATATACATCTGATACATATGTACTTACATTGCGTAGAAAGTTTGAACTGATTCTGATCAAAATTGAATTTTTTATGAATTTTTAAAGTTGCTGAAAATCAGGCCAAAGTTTCTTTGGCCAAATTTTGCCAAAAATAAAAAGGTAAGAAATCTCCATTTTAATAACTTTTCCTGATACATAATACATATTCTGTGTGTAGCAAGTTTAAGCTGGTTCTGATCAAAATTGGATTTTTAACAAATTTTTAAAGTTACTCAAAATATTGAGTAAATACAGTATGTGTATCATAATTCATTTGTACCTTTCTCCAATGACCACATGATCCATAATTACTGAATTGATGACTTTCACTTTCTCTCCAATGACACAGTGTCTTCCTATCATTGACCTCTTAACTGATACTTTATCTGATAGCTGAGTACTCTCATCAACCACTGAGTCACCACTGATTGCCTGAAACACATTATTATTATTATTGTTATTATATCATAAATAAATGGATAGTATTTTAACGGTAATATTTTTCTTGAAAAACTACAGTGTATACATACATGTACATGCATACAATTTATTGATTTGGGCATGGTACACATGTACATGTATTTCAAATTCAAATTTAAGAATTACACATATACTGCGGCCACTGTACATGTAACAATTTCAGTCTAAACTTTTTAAATAATAATAATTAAAGATCCTTATCCATTTTTAATACGCTAATAATTGAACTTACACTTGACTTTATTCCTTGTCCACTTGTTCCAGAGTCCAACATGAAACTTGACGAATGCTGTCCTATCTAGAAAAATATTTCAGAGACAAATGAATTAATATTCAGAGCCAAGTGAAGTAGCCTCAACATTAGCAGTTAGTAACTTTAGGGCCAATAAGACTCATAATGACCCATATCAAAGATTGACAACAGGTTTGGTTATAATAATTATTAATTTTATTAATAATTATTTCTTGCATTGGTGCAACTGCATTAATATTAATAAAGCTATAAATAGAGTGGCCATTAATGTAATGGACATTAATAATCATTTATTATAATACTGTATAGCTGCTTAATTTCGAGGGTACAATTTTCGCTGTTTTCACGGATTATACGAAAGCTAATTCTATAAAATTATCCGTATCAACCTATAAACACGTGTACTAATAAGAACCACGAAAGTTAATTCTCAAAAAAGACTTGTGGCCTGATTCGCGAAAGTTTATTGCCTCAAAACTTTGTGGCTATGAGGTAATAAATTTATTTATAAAAATAATAAATTTGATCCACTCCGACACACGTCACTCACCATCCTATTAGCCTCCATATACAGTGATACAGTGTTGACTCTAGTGCATAGTTCAGCTCCGGTGATTGTGTGGGCGTGGCACTGGGTGGGGGAGGGGATAGGAGAGGAGGAGTATTGAGATGCCAACTTGTCAATATCGTCATGGAATCTCTCGGAAAACTGTAATAGAACTGAAAAAATATATATTACAGGTAAGTTTTTAGAACACATAAGTTTTCTCTACTCAGTTCTAAAGTATAAAATTTTATAGGGATGTCAATTCGCAGATTTCACAATCCTTGAAAATTAGGTTAAATTTTCGGCAAATGAGTTTGGACAAATTCGTAATATTTATGACCATCACAAGTGAAAAGTGTTATGCTGTAAATTAAAATTAGGCACAAATTTTTCTC